AATTATATAAAGAACATACTGTATATACAATATATAAAATAATACAAGTAAAATGACATTGCATAACATGTTTCACCCTTCTTACATTACTTGATGCTCAATATTGTGTTTTATTGAAATATGTAATTTTATAGATGGAAAATGTGTTGCTATGTTATGTCAAAATGTGATGTCATTTTATGTTGTCTTTACAGGTCAAACGGAGGATACTTACAATAAAATACTCTCACTATTGCAGCTTAATGTGCCGAGACAACTAGAAGTGTTATTTTAGTATTATTCATAAACTATTATAGTATTTGTTAGTGCTTCTGAAGAAGCTTTTTTTATATTTATATTAAAAGTTTCAGTAATTTTATTATGTGCTTTTGTCATTTTTATTCTTCTTTTTTAAATATTTCTATATACTTTTATTTTCATTTTAGCACTTAAACTTGTATTTCTAATTTTCATTGAAGTTTTTCATCTAATATTAATATTTATATTTAAAAAAAGTTAACAACACTGACTATAAGCAAGCCATTTCTCACAGGTTGAATTCCCTTAAAAAACTCACACTTTGGCTTTGTGGTGTTTTCTAAATGTGTGGTCTGACACTGCTTGATCTATTTGAATTATCATACATTCTACAATTACAGTTTATGATGCAAGTAGCACAGATGCATATTCATGCAGCACCCCAAGCACACACAAGGGGGCAGGCTTTCTCCATGCTCGTCCTGTCAGCGAGCGTTTTAAGTGGGGTTTAGCATACTCTTCCTCTCCAGCTCTTTTGAAGCTCCACTGATTTAGTATTTCTTCAGAGATCCAGACTGTGAAGTAGGGAAGCATCGCATCATCTTTTTGCTTTATTATTTCTGCTGCTCATGACATATCCTCCTCTCAAGGTCTAGAGACAGATGCTTCTTTGTTTTCCCCTTCCTCAGTTAATGATGAGAAAACAGAGTTCTTTTGACAGCCACTTCTTTCTACTTTTTCCAGCTCTGTTCTCATTTGTCCTCTCTCAGATGTGCCACCATTCATGTTTATTACGCACATGGTTGGTGTCCTTCTCCAGCGCAGTCATTTTCTGCGGCGTGAGAGACGGGAAGGATGTATTTGATGCGGAGCGTGGAACAGTGTGAAACCCTTCTTAGTGTGAAATTAATGCCACTTTGCAGTCCTGAACAAAGTGTTGTGCTGTCTTTACTTTTTGAGCAATGTGATATCTGAATTAAGTCAGGTCTCATCTCTAATATGCATTTCAACATGGGAATATGTGAATGCAGAACTGCACAGAACGCTCAGGACATCAGAACGCCCGCCATTCACAAAGCTCAATTTTTTTTCTTAATTACTAGGTAAATTCACTATTTAATTTGAGATATTTTGAAGAATTTTATGTATCTTCTTAGGATTGATTGATTGATTAATTGATTGATTGATTCACCTTGAAATCAGGAAAACAATGCTAGATTCCCAGGGGAAAACACTGACAAGTGCACATTTGTACTGATAGTGCTGTTTTTTTATTTTATTTTATTTTTTTAAATCAGCAGAATGCTACACAGTATTAATATATTGTGAAATATTATTATATTTTAAAATAACTGTTTTCTTATTTGATGTTTAAAAATGTAATTTATTCGTGTGATGCAAAGCTGAATTTTCAGCATCATTACTCCAGTCTTCAGTGTCACATGATCCTTCAGAAATCATTCTAATATGCTGGTTTGTTGCATTAAAGACATATTTTTTATTAATGTTGAATTTTTTTTTGGAATAAATTAAAATTTAATTTAAAACATTTTTAAATTGTAAACTGTAATAATAATTCACAATTTTACTGTATTTTTTAAAATGCAGCCTTGGTGAACATTCTTTCAAAAATACAACAATAATAATAATAATAAAAGTTTTACTTTTTACATTTTTAATACTTTATTCCAGTATTCTAATTGGTAGTGCATTATTTTATTTTATTTTATTATTTTATTTTATTTTATTTTATGGATTCCTGGGGGAAAACAATGGTGCAAACTTTTAGTGTTTTTTTTCCATGATTTCTTACACATTATTTTATTTTATATTTTATTTTAAAATTAACTGAAATTGTTAAATCAATTTCTTGTATAAGCATTTTATTTTATTACTTGATTGTAATAAAATTTAATTGTCCTTAAAATCAGCAGAAAGAATGTGGAGCATGCAGCTGACTATTGCTATCTGACATATTTGATTTATTTGTATACTGAATTGCAGTTGATTAGTGTACAGAAATATCTAATGCAAAAGTTGTAATTACAACATTTTGTCATAGATGTTGTCACTTTTACATTCTGCACACGAACAAAGCATTGTGGGCAATGTGCTATAGGATGCTTTGATCTATGCTCCAGCATTTATATAAATGCAGTCAACTCTGTTTGCGTGTGTGTGTGTGTGTGGACTTAGACAGGATCTGACAGTGGCAGTCTGATGTGTGTTAAATAAGAACGTCAGAGTGAAACGCTGAAAGAGCTCTTAGAGAGAGAGACTTCTCTGATCATCTGCCAGACTGATCTCTCTCTCAAAGATGCTTAAACTCCAGAGAATATAGTCTAGATTTAGGTCA